GAGAAGGTTTCAAGGCATCGCGGATTAGTACCTGGTAGATGTATTTTCTGTTTTCTGTCCTTCAATCTCCAAAGCCTGCGGAAATATCAAACATCTCCCCACCGGTAGAAACCACTCAGAAATCTCTGACAAGTTACAAACGCAAAAACAAGAAATCACCATTGGTTCATGGCAAACGAGATGGACCTGTTCTCACTGGGCATCTCGAGTCATACCCCAGTTCTACAAATTCAGCTGGAGCTGCTATTTTCCAAGTAGCCGGCAGTATGAACCGTAAAAATCGTTCCTGGGCCTTCTCTCCAGCCCACCGAAAGTTGTTTCCAAAAGAACTGTACTAAGCACTACAGATTCTACCAACAACCAAAGCCTATCTCCCCCTTCTTAAGTTGTGCCGTCTTAACAAGGTGGAGCGCAAAGCCTCGAGCCCTAGCAGCATCCCGAAAAGGAGATGGAGACAGGACTTAAATTTCCTAAAAACTTTCAAGCACTCCTGTGACATCCTTTCCCAGATGTATTTTGGAAGGAAAAAGACTGAAGAAAGAGGTCGGCCTGACCTCGCACAGGGACCCGCACGCGCGGTAAAAGGGATAGACAGAGGGACCGCATTTCTATATAGAAAGCCATAGGCTATACGGCATAAGATAAATAATAATATTTTCCTAGGTTCTCTATCTACCTGGGTGGAATATTGGGCATCTTGATGAGGAATGCTGCTGCTAACCCGAGGTTAAGGAGTCCGCTCTCGGACTCGGAGTCTTCCCTATCCATATTCAGGGGCCTCCTTAAGGCGTGCGATGAGCTGTCCATCCTCGGGCGCTGCTACGGTAGCATTGTATTAGCAAGACAGTATCAAGAATTCAACCTATTCCCTAGCAATAAATTTGCAGGGATGTTGGTAGGCTCGGAGCACAAATATATGTCCCGCGAATCCCATGCTCCAATATCGACGGTGACTTACTGAGTTGTGTCGCGGGGACATCCTCGTTTTTTACATCAAAGGGTGGTGTATCAAAGATCCCCTGCGTATTACAGATGGGAAGCCCGTTTTCATCGTTCCTGATTAGAAGACTTATAGTCCGGACGAGCCGCTTCCCCGGCGTGAGCACCTTGAGTTTGTCAAATATGAAGTATGTCGTTACTTCTCCTGCTTCATTACTTCCGCCGGACGCGCCAGCGGAGGGGTCAGCTCCGGCGTCAGTGACGCCCATCCAGATGGGATCCGCAGCAGTTTTTTCCCCCACCTCTAAGAACGGCAAGGCAGACTTAATGTCGACGAGATTGCCGCTCATCACGTACAAAGAGGCGGAAACAGGGCCCATCTCGCTCACCCAGGACGGCAGGACGACTCTGAGGACAATGGGCGGAGATAAAAAAATGCCCGCCCTCGCAACACTGACAAGAACCGTCATCAACGATGCGGTCTTCCATTTGGGTTCGTTTGGCTGAATCCGGGCCATTGTCGCTGATTCGGATTCTGCGTGCTTGGGATGGGCAGGTCGGCGGCTCAGGCTGCTGATCGGGAGTGGTATCGATTACTGTCGGTCTGGGGTTACGGCAGGGTCTTATCTTGGTTGAATGATGAGGAGAGTGCCGGGCCGAAGAGGAGAGGACGCGCGTAGGTTAATATACCTAGTTCTCGACAGCTTTGGGCAAAGGTCGGTATTGGGTGTAATAAAAAATATCCCTTCGTGCCCTTCGAGGTATATAATTATCTACTTGGACTGTGGATTATTGGTTGGGAGTACCTGCCTAGGAACTGACAAGCATGTCGCCTGTAGTAGTTGCTTGCTACAAAGAAGATTTCAGCCCAGACACCTGCCAGGAGTCTGCTACCATTAGGTTTATACAAAGGCTTACGCAGCGTGATATTTGCCTTTTAGTTTACGTCCTAGCTTGCTTCCGCCCAGTTCCCATCGATTTAAGCTATGTCTCTGTCTGCTTCAATCCAAGTTGGCCGTCAAGTTATCCCATCCCAACCCTCCATTCTTGTCCACATTTTCCATTTGCAATACCCATTGACTCATGTGTGATGACCAGAAACTTATTTCCCTACCTAAACAGTGCGATCAAACAAACCCAAGATGTCCAGGCCAGTGACAACTGATCAGTCTTGTCCAAAAATCACTCACGCTTTCATCCTATCAAGTGGAGAGAGGCAGGCATATGCCGAAAGCCAGCATCACGAAGAAAGTCCATCATAGCGGCCTGCTCCTCGTCTACAAGGTTCCGCCCGCATCAGCTTCACACCGCTCGAAAAGAACAAGGAATCAACTGAAAGTGAAGCCGACGTACCCGGAACCTGCGGCGTCACAGGCAACTGGCCTATATCAAAGAAGCCCGTTTCAACGTCGCCCAGGAAAAACGTCCCCCGGCCGTCAATCGACTCCATCTTCAGCCGAATCTTGTACTGGCCCGTGCTCGTAAAGGAAAAGTGGGCAAACACAAAGTACACGGCGTGGAGCCCGCTGCCGCCGTCGCCTAGGCTGCTGGAAGCGGTGCCGACACTGGGGGGGTAATCCATGCCGTCGTCGACAGCGATGCCCTGGTGGACAAAGTTCCCGTCGAGCAGGTTGACCATCTGGTTGTCGGCATTCATGCACACGGGCTGGGCGAGGATCGGGCAACCATGCATGTAGTTGGGCAGGATGATCTTGACGATGATGGGCGGGTAGAGGACCTCGCCTACGCGGACGGCTTCGTTGGGGCCCATGACGAAATGGCAATCGTAGTTCATGGGCCCGCACGGAATGGAGCGGGCCCGGGGATGGCCGCGGCGGCGGGGGCGGGTGGCCATGGTTGTGGACCAGCGACTTGGGTGCTATGTTGCCCAATGCCAGTCTTTCCCGGAGTTTGATGTTTGGAGTGGCGGTAGTAGTGATCTGGTGTGGTTGGGTGGAGGTTGGCAACGATGGGGATGGAAGGACGACTGGGGTTCTCGGGAGGATTGAAGCTGTTCGATATGGGAGAGTTTTATACCAGCGTTGGAATGGTCGAATGGTCGAGGCGTCTGCCCAAGCCCAAGCAAGTGGCGTTCCCCGGTGTGGGAGGATAGCCCTTGGCCGATCAAGAAATTTACTTCCCCATGGGGGGCGGTTGACCGAAAGACAGTGTGCGCGGCGTCGACAACTAACCCTTAATCACTGATGACAATTGTCCAAGGGCTATATTCGTACTTGCCCCCCTGTCTTGCCTTGTTGACCACCCTGGAGGAAATTCCCCAGTGCCCCTTTCTTTTCCTGCGCTCGGGTAAAAATCACAAATTTCTCCAAACAGGCCTCCCAATAGCCAGCATATCGAGACGACGCTCACGAGCTCGAGTTTTTAGATTTGATGGAGCATTTTCTGTGAGTCTTGTGCTCTTGGAAGTGAAAGACATGAAGGCAACTGCAAAGGCCTAGGCGTTTTAGCACGGCAATGGAGCTGCGGTTGAGGGGATCTTGTCAGGTACCCGACTACTACCCTCGATCTTGGGTAGCATCGGGAGAAATGCATCGGGGATCCGGCACTGGGCACGAAAGACCCCACGATCTTAAGCCGCAGAGAGGGTCAGGAAATATGTCCGGGGTCCGACAACAAGGAAATGAGCCAACCAACCGCAAGCATCTCAAGGTCAACCTCTGCACTTGGATTCCACCACCCCCAGCCGTGGTCCAGTGACAGAGATGACGCCCAGGCCCCCAGGCCCCCATTGAACGGAGGCACCGGGATGTAACACGCTAGCCATCATCGAACTAGCTGCTTTGGCGTCCCTTGGTGACGCACTCGCCAGAGGGCGCCCGGCTCTGGGAGACGTGGCCTGGTTAGATTGGGGACATTGCTCGACCTCTTTAACCATCATGATGTCTAGTCCATGCGAGCAGAGAGGCTGAATCATAGCTGACAGGTCACTTACATAAATGGCTTGTGGTTTCTCGATCAAGCACGCCCCATCTGAGGCATCTGGCCGTTGAGAATCGTGATGGCGAGGAACCTCTTGGGACCTGCTGATCATGGAAGGAATCAAGCTGGGTGAGCCGTGACATGGTGAACAGGCACTCGTTTGGAGTTTAGGCTTGTTTCGATGATGGGTGAGGATGTGGCGCAGGTCGCAGGGGTTGGGTATCGAGGCTCGAGCGAGGGAGTCGATATGCTGACTGGTTAGATGTCTGAATTTCCAGGGTCCAGCTCACGATGCCCAGACACGATTTAAGCCTCCGTGATCAACGGCAATGTACCCACCAATCGCTGCATCGCCGTGTCAGCTACGACGTTTCCCAGGCGGGCAACCTCCAACGGAGAAATCGTACGAATGGTGCCGACTGCCGATCCAGTAACTTGACCACCCTAGACCGGATCAAGGAATGGCAGACCATCAGGACCCTGCAGAAAGTTCCTTGCATTCTCATCCTCCTTCACACCCTTCGAGAAGAGATATCATCTGCCCCGGCCACCGCCCCGGGCTCAATTCCCCCATCCGTCTGTCCCCGGGCCCCATTCCCCAAAACCATCCCGACAACATTGAACCCCACGACGACAAGAAACATTCGGCTCACGGATCGATCTCCATGGATCAAAATACCACATGCACCCAGCCACACCAAGCCCGATCGATCCGTATTACACATATGCAAGCGCAGTGCTACATGTATCCAATGACGAACGTGCCCCCACGAGCACAGTGAGCCCCAGCTGCGAGAAAGCTGCAAAGATCCCCCGACGTATTTCAGCCCTCCCATTAGTACCTCTCTCTGCCGTTGACTTGTAAGCGCCGGCGCGGAGATGCCCGACTCTCGCCAAAAAGAAACGGTGTACGGACGGACCTACAGCCAGCCACACCGGGGATAGGCTACGACACGACCATTCAAGCATCGGGGAGCATTGCTCACAGACACCAACAACGCCCATCCTGCATACACATATCTTTCCATAGTAGGGCCTTTGACTAAAAAGCACCCCACAAACTCCCACCAAGACGAAATGCTCCCAGCAAAAATGATGCAAGGAGCAAAATATGAAATGAATGCCCACTATCAGAATCGAACTGATGACCTTGTCATGGATGAGGAATACTGGAGACTACTAGTGACACGCTCTACCACTGAGCCAAGCGGGCTGAAATGTTGATAAAGAGTTGTTGACGAGAGGCTGTTTATGACCCGGGCTCAACACATCCAAATCCTCATCAATGTGAGAACCAAAGGTCAGGGGGGTTGTCCCTCAACGGATGGTGACATGGATGGCATCATGGCATGATTCGAAAACCTAGTCCTCCCGAAGACCCAAAGGCCTAAAGGCCTCTGAGGCTCCGTCAAGCCGCCGTCACAAGGGCATAAAAGCGAAGAGAGAGTCAGCGAACAAGCACACCATCCGGTGAGAACAACACCACTACCTACAACGGCCCCTCGGACCCTTCCACAAACAATCTCATCCCCAAAGCCCAGCCAGAACCAACAATCTTTATCCCCAAAAAAACCAAACACACGAGTCAGTCAGTCCCCAGCCCCATCCCACAACCTCTCTACCAACGCTCCCCAAATGACCTCCCCTGCAAAATCCCCAACCCCAACCCCCCCCCATCAAAACCAAGAAATCGGGTACGGTGTAGCGCCAACATCAGTGACTCTCAATCCAATCCATCAATGGACAGAGTGCTCACCAACCCGGAGTTCGACTCCCGTGCCGTATTCGAGATTTCCAGGCCCCCCCCTCCTGTCCCTCAACACTACGGTGAATACCATTAACATTCTCACTCACACACACCATCATCATCATCTTCCATAGTATAGCGGCCAGTCAGTATGTGAGCTTGTCATTTCCATTCGCCAGTGACCCCCTTCGTGGGGAGATGATGTCGGCATTCGCTTGTGACCCGGGCTCAAGGGGGGCCTGGCTTTTTTTGGTGGTGTCGTTTTTGCTGGTTGGATTTTCTATGTATTTTTTTTTCCGCATCTACTACCTTCCATGTCTGAAGAATAATTAATGACCTGACACTACCGGCAGTCTCTCTTTGCTTTGAGGTCGGTGTCCACTAGAGGTTAGAACCACGGTGAGATGTAGCTGACAAAGTCAGGCCAAAGGTCATGAATGAGAAGTTTGGGGAGTCTGGACAGACACGGAAAGGACAGACTAGGTAACGGCAATGGCTCTCTGTGCAATTACAAGACCTAGACTTCTAAAAATGCCCAACCAGCATCAGATCGCGCAAAAGAAATATACAATACAAGATGCCAGCGCGCATCTGCCAACAGCTCTCCCCGACAAGCTGCGACCCGTCATGTATCATATCGACAACTCCGAACCGTCCCAACCAAGTATATGCCAGTTTAACCTTCTCCAACCACACATGCACCAACAACCCCTCCTCTAGACCTGCTTCAAGTACTTGAAGATCTTTTCCCTCTCGTCCACAGGCATCACCCGCAGCATCTCGCGGACACCCTTCCATGCCCCAAACTCGCTGTGCTCGTTGCCGGCCGCGTGGCCGACGCGGATCAGATCGCGCATCTCAGCCGCAATGGCCTCCGCCTTGAGGGCCTCGACCTTATCGGTGACCAACTTGCGGTTCTCCTCGTACCATACAGCAACCTCGCGATCGCTCTTGTCGAAACCAGGAATGCTGCACCATGCCTCCAGCTGCCTAAGGTGGCGAGCACGCGTCGCGGGCGTCGTTGGCGCCGTCGTCAACTTGTGGTGGATTCCGGCGGCGGTGGTGGAAGCGGCAATGCGACGCAGGATGTACTCCTCGTTCAGTCTTCTGCGCACGCGCCAGTAGAAGAAGCGCCGAGCACCCTGCCACTCGAGGATGTCGCGAATGACGCCCTTGGCCTTCATGCGTCCGGCGCGGTCGTGAAGATCGGCAAACTGGTGGCTGATCTGGCCGTAGACGGGAAGAAGCTGCTGCTCACGGACCGTCATCTGCTTCTTAAGCTGCTCAGAGGCCTCCTTGCTGAGACCCGGCTCCATGGATTGCTTCTTGAGGCCGGCGTAGACAGGGTCAAGACGGGCCATGGTCTCCAGCTGCTTGTCCTTGCGGTACTTGATACCGATGATGCCATCGGGCTCGAGGACACCGCCGCGAGAGTCGACATCGGCATACATCTCCATCGAGGTGGGATTGATGGTGGGATCAACGACGACCCACGAGCCGCCACGAAGCTCGCCGTGGGGAGGGATGTAGATGAAGACCGGCTGCTCAAACTTGACGAGGGCGTCGACGATGTACGACCCATACTTGAGGACCTCGTTGTACATGTCGCGCTGACCACCCGAGAAACCACGCCAGTTGGCGAGAATCATCAGCGGCAGCTGCTCACCATGATTGAAGTCGTTGATGGCCTGCGCCGTCTTGAAGGCCGAGTTGGGGTACCAGACACCACCAGCCTCGTTGGAGACCTGCTCAATGGAATCCGGGTTCGCGGGATCGGCAGGGGTGATGTTCTCGACGGAACGAGTCTCGACGGCAATGACACCCATGGGGATACCGCCAAGGCGAGCACGGCCGACGACAACGGTACGAGCCCAGCCCCCGAGAGTCTCCACGAAGGAGTCCTTGTCAAAGAGACCGGGCTGGAAGCCGTCCGCGTCCTCCTTTCCAGCGATCATCCACCTGACATCATAGGGCTGCTTCTGAGGAGGGGTGTAGACGATGTCACGGTCCCAAGTGTCGACGCACGGGCTGATGGGGACAGGATTGTTACGCTTGTCCGGAACAAACGACATCCACTCGACAATCTTGGACACGCCGGCAAAGTCGTCGTTGGCGGTCAAGTGCGAAACACCGTTGCGGTACATGATCTGAGTGCCGCCGAGCTGCAGGTTGGACGAGTAGACCTCGCGACCGAGCAGGTTGTTGAGGGCAGGGGCACCTGTGAGAATGATGGGCTGACCCTCGATCTGAACGGCGCGCTGGCCAAGGCGCACGAGATAGGCACCAATACCTGGGAGGACGTTAGAACAGAGAGCATAGTCAGCGAGGGGGTAAACATACCGACGGAGCGGCAAGTGACGAGCGTGCAGGTGAAGATGTCAGTATAGGCTCGGCTTGTAGCACCGGCAATCAGACCAGAGCCGCGCAAGCATTCGACACCGAGGCCGTCCTCGGCACCAATGATGGTGGTAATCTTGTGGCGCCTCTCGCCATCTTCGGTAACCTCTTCGGTGATGACCGAGCTCTCGAAACGGGCCTTGGCCTTGTCGTTGAGGTACAGGTACTTGAACCCTGCCTCGGGCTTGCTGGGATCGTTCCAGGCAACGTCGAAGTGGGGCATCAGCTCGTTGGCGAGGCCAAGACGCGCGCCAGAGTTGGCCGAGAGATAGATGCGGGGAATGCCGAGCTTGCGCGCCAGCTCTGTGCACTTGAAGAAGAAGTTGTCTTCCTTGGGTCCGAACGAACCGATGTTGAAGGTGATGTCGTTGGCGACGACGACGAACTTGCGGCCCTTGGGGTACTCGGGTGTGCGGGCGTGGATCAGCCAGCCAACCATGCCACAAGTGTTGGTACCGGGCTCGCGGGACACCTCGGCCAGGTTGTCATGGTCATCGAGGACGAGTTCCATATACTCGATGCAGTCGCCAACTGGAGGCTGCTTGTCGGCAAGACCAGTATGCTTCTTGACAGCCTTGGCCCAGCTGTTCTGGATGGCTTGGCGGAAGAGCTCGGGGAAGTCGTAGACAAATTGGGTTCCCATCAGGTGAGCCTTGAAGCGTTTGGGCTGAAGCCAGTTCTTGGTGGGGTAAGGGGTCGACACGGGGAGGAGGTGCATCGCGCCAATCTTGGTGGTGCCGCCAATAGAGTTGAACACCCAGTCGCCCTTCTCCGACTTGCGCTCGGCGTACATCTCCACCTGGACAACATAGCCAGAGGTGTTGGTGATGATGACTCGCAGGGGGTAGGGCATGCCAGTGCCGGGATCCGTACAAATAATGCGAATCTCGACTTGAGCGACACGAAGACGCCACGCTCGGGGACCGAAGCGGTCGAGGAAGCCCTGCAGGGAGTGCTCAACCTCCTCGGGCTGGAGCTGGAAGACGGGCGTGAAGTTGATGAACATGTGGTTTAGATCCGAGTTGTTGTTGCCAATGATCTCCAGAGCATCAAAAATGTCGTTGATGACACGATCGGCTTCCGAGATGAGGTACTCGGCGGTGGGGATGTCATCCCTGAGGCGACCAGGGCGGATGACGGCGCGCGTGAAGTAGCGCTTATCGGTGTCGACACCCTTGCCGATGGCCTCGTACACGTGAATGTTCTTGTTCTCCGTGAAGACGGGCTTGATCTTGAACTTGGCGAGACGTCCAAGCTCGAGCTGGAAGGCAAGGGCGGGCTCAATGTGACGGATGCTATCGTCCTCAATGTACTCGGGGCCTCGGAATGTGTAGTAGCCGGGGTACGACCCATCGTTGCGGCCACAGACGAACGTCAAGCGACGCACGCGGCGAGCGAAGAGTTCATCCTTGAACTGGTGGACCAAGGGCAGAATGTCCTTGAGAATCTCATCATCGCTGCGGCCCTCGGCATCCCGAACGGCAACATTGACAACAGCGGAGAGCTCGTCGATGCCGCTGTCAAGACGGGGCGTGAGGGCAGGTCTGCGCTTGTTGTTGAGATCGGGAATGAAGCCACTGGCCGTCTTCTTGCGCAGCCCCCCGGGGATGGGCAGGGTATCGAGCGCCTTGGCGAGCAACTCCTCGGCGTCATCCAGGTACTTGCACGGAACAATAACACCCTTGCGGATAGGCTCCTCGGATGTCTTGGCCGTCAGGTACGACATGTCACTAATAGAGTGGATGCGCTTGAAGGTGCTGTCCACGGGGGTGCCGGGAGTCGATGCGACGGCGGATTGGAGAGGCAAGCCGTACTCGGACTGTCCAATCTTGCGGAGAGCAAAGTCCCAAGACACAAAGGCGGGCGACTCGGCCTCGTCAGTGTGGTAGTCGATGTTCTTGAGGACGTACGCCCTGTAGGCGCGACGAACGTAGACCTCGAGAGCGGCCAGCGACACCCAGGGATCCTCGTGGGCGAAGAAGAGGGTGAGCACATCGAAGACGGTGTACTTGGAGTCGACAACCTCCTTGATGATCTCCAAGTTGGGCTCCCGGTGGTCCCACCCAGTC